AGTCGTCAAGCTGTCAGATCTGCTGTCAAAGTTCTGTTTATCAGTGCTCAGTGGTATCAGAAGGTAATTGTAGCTTCCATTTTATTGAGTTTTTACGAAGTGCCCAGCACTGTGCCGCACCTAATGTTCATTGTCCCCTTTAATCCTTTCCGTTATGTTGCAGATGAGAAAACCTGAGCCGGAGTGTAAATTGACTCCTTCCCAGCCAGGCGTGGGAGGGGCAGGCTCTGGACTTGAACCTCCCTGACTCCGGATCCCTGGCCTCCCCTGCCAGGCAGCCTGTGCCTCTAAAGCAGATGTTAGGTCTACCTTAGTCCCTTTGTTTCTAACGTAACACTTTTACTCTTCTTTACCTCCTGCTGGTACATTCATAGATTAGAACAGGGATCACTGGAATTGCTTATCTTTTGCTCCGTTCAGTCCTACATGTGTTTACAAATAGCCAGACCTTTGAAAGGCAGGTGATGTGTTGTTCCAAGCAGGATGAGTGCCTCAGACTCTTTTCCTTCTGGAGTTTCCATTAACGATGCAAAAGGAGATTATCGTCCTCAGGTGAGGGAAGGGAGTTAGGGGATCAGTCTAGAAAGTACTATTTGTGATGACCTTTGTTGGATGAGTTTGATTTCACCAGGCTCAGAACAAGGAAAATTGTCACATTTCATCTTGTGGTTAATTTCACTTCTTGTGGTTAGTTGTACTTAGTGTGGGTTAGCATTTAAATATTTTTGTACACTACCATAGCAAAGTGAGTTGGAACTTAAAAGTCCTGAAATATTACTGTGCGGGTAAGGGTGGTAGGGAGGGACTTCTATTACAGAGTAGAACGGAGGGGAGTTGTCCACCATCAAAAGCCACACTCAGTAAGGGACAGAGTGTTTTACCTGAAATTACATTAAGGCACAGCTTACTATCGTATAATATAGAACTCAGAAGTGAAGAATGTTAACTATAACGAGAGGTTAGGTTTCAATCAGTTTTGTCCCTAACATTGATTGCTGTCATTTAAGCACTACTTGTAAATTGATTTGATCACGCCAGATTAACCAAAGCATTTTGAAAATTCTGAAGTACCACACGAGTTTGGTTTGTTTTGTTTTTTTTCCGTATAGTTCCCTCTAGGATACTTGTTTCTACTGTTATCTATCCTGCTTCTGTAAGTCATTTTGTCCACAAGGCTCTAAGCTGCCTCCCCAGATTTCAGCCTATCTGTGCCACAGGTGGGAGTTTCAGCATTCTTCTTCTATTACCATAAAGTAACATGCTGAAGAGAAAGCCTTAAGAAGAGCTCCAACAGCTTGTTAACAGAGAAGGATGGAGTGGTACTTGGGAAGTTAATTAGCTGCAATCTTGTGGAAGATTTATTTCGAGTCCATCCAGGTTGGTTTAGGAAAGGCATGGTAAACCCAGGGTGGATTGAATTTGTGATTTCTGCATTTTCATGTATAGTTATGTAGACTTCTCAGGTCATGAAACATAATTGGTATTCCTCTGTACACAGACCATTATAAGTTAGAGTATAATTACCATTTTTTCTTCTGAAGAAAAATTCCCCCAAATAAACAGAAGTGGGTTTTTTTGTTGTTTTTGCTTTTTTTTTTCTTTTTTTAATGTACATTGGCTTGGAAAAGCTTATAATATTTGGAATCCTGACTGTGTGAAAGTGGGTTTAAAATAATTACTAATTGTTCCAATATTTTGCAAAGACATACTTTTAAAGTTGTCCACCACAGGGAGATCAGCTCGGTGCTTTGTGATCGCCTGGAGGGGTGGGATAGGGAGGATGGGAGGGAGGGAGACGCAAGAGGGATGAGATATGGGAACATATGTATATATATAACTGATTCATTTTGTTCTAAAGCAGAAACTAACACACCATTGTAAAGCAATTATACTCCAATAAAGATGTTAAAAAAATAAAGTTGTCCACATCACATGTCCTACACAATGAGAACTTAAAACTGTCATTGGGTCTGGTCTTTCTTACATACAGAGTTTTATATGTGTAGAATTCTAGTGGCTCTTACATTTTAGAGGAAATTCCAGATCTATAAAAAAATAGAAATCAAAACTGTTATATTTCTGTTAAATTTTATTTGGAAAATAATCCTTTGAAATAAGAAAGGCAAATGTTACTTTTAAAATATTTCAATTGCATGAGGTTAGAATTCTGCTCATTTAATCTCATCCCGCTAAGGAAACCATTGGTATCATTTTGGTACATAGTTGTGTGAGAAGATATTGCTCCAAAATTTCTTGACTTTTTAAAACTTACTCAGAAGAGACTAAACTAAATTAAAAGAGAAGAATTATAGGTGAATTAAAGAACTGCCAGTACTGAATCTTAATGTATAAAAAAAGGCATGTGCCCTTTTTAAATAAGTGTCTATACCTGTTGATTTCTATAGCCACATGTTGGTTTACAGAGGTATCAGACATTCAGTAGCTACAGCCACAGGTGGCCATTGAGCTCCTGAAGTGTGGCTGGTCCAAACTGAGATGTGCTCTCACTGTAAAGTATACACAAGATTTCAAACACTTTGTACAAAAGAAAGCATGTAAAATATCTCTATTTTTTATATTGATTACATGTTAAAATGACAACATTTTGGATATACCAAATGAAACAAAATATTATTACAGTTACTTTCACTCTTTTTTTCTCTTTTTTTTTTTTAACGTGGTTGCTAGAACATTTTAAATTACATATGAAGCCTGCATTTGTGACCCACATTATATTTCTGTTGGACAGTGCTGGTCTAGACCATCCATGTGTACACATACTTCTGTTTTAGTAACAGTATCACCTTCTCAGATAGAAAACCCTATTGAATGACTTTAAACTATAACTTCTGATTTTATTTTCTTACATTTCAAATACTATTTTTCAACATCATCTTTTGATTCTTTCTTTTCCATCCCAGTACAGTGGCACTTTAAACTGCCTCTCCTTTTGATACTAGTAAGTCTCCTAGGAATTTAAATAGGCCTCAGTGAAAGCAGTACTTGAGCCTCATTCATATGTTCAAGTTAGATCATTATTCCTAATAATGGCTTTAAGTGCTTAGATAGATCAGCACTTCGTGTCTTGAATTGCTTGTCATTTCTTTATAAAGATGTTTGAAGAAATTGCTCCATGCATTCCCTGCTTTCATTGTTTCCTAGCAAAGAGGAACATAATCCTTTATTAATTTGTTGAAAGTCAGAGAAGAAAAGCCTTTCATAGTAACGAAAACAAAATGTTTCCAGGTACTGAGCATAAAGAACAAAATTGGTTATGAGTGATAGTCCTACGCAAGTTAATTTTTAAAATAAATCAGGAATGCACTGTCAGTCTGCCAGTGGCTTTGACCTCTATTTCATTTTCCCGTTATGCTTGGGTCCAGGTTGTCATCAGCTACCAAGAGGAAACCTATGTAATTCCTAGAGAGCTAGAAGTTGCACTGTTAGACTTAATAGTATGGTAGTCATGGAAGCATCAGTTATCTTCATCAAGGCAATTCAGATTTGATTATTGTAGAACTGTGTTGAATACCAAACCAGTGGAGTAGTAGCTGGAGCTAAATCAAGGGATTGTCATTTTTGTCAGATGATTACGGCTGACTTGGAAGAGATATGAAAGGGTTGAGCTCTGTAAATATTCTCTTTTCAGCAGAAAAAGAAAAGGTCCATCATGGCCTTAAGATGCAGCTTGTTAGCTTGATGAATTTCAAACTATTTAACCTTAGCAATTATGTACCCCCGCCTACATGCAAGTATATCCGTGCCTTGGGATTATGTCTCCAAGGACTGATATCAAAGCATATTGGTAATTTTCTATTAAGATAAAATGCAGCCTTTTTATGCCTAGTTAGATCTCTCAAAGGACAGGGCATGCTCTTGTTCAAAGTCCTAATTATTAACTTGAGTTATATGTTCAGGTAAACATTGGAACACATTTATTTATAAGTTTTTAAAAACTAAGGAAAAATACATATAATTTAACCTTTCAGAGATGATGGTATTCATTTAAGTTATGCTATTAACGTGTTACATTTTTATAAACTGAAAGTGTATTTGATTAATTTGTATTTGCCTGAGGGACTTGATACTTTTAAATAATAGACATATTAAATAATAGCAACCTATGTAAATAGACACACCCAACCTAATGATTCAAGGACATTTCTGCAAGTTTATAAATAATACTACATGCCAGAAAGTACAGTGTGTTGCTGCTTTTATGAAAATGTGCATTGGTCAGTTTGCTTTTGTATTTCTACTACCTGGGCACTTATTAAACTCGTATATAAGAATAGATGACATAGAAAGTGCAAACTTCAAAAGAATTGCTGAATTCTGAAATAACTCATTCATTTTAGGAGAAGAAAGACTCGGTGTGCCATCTAGTGGGCATATATAGCACTTTGGTTATCAAAAACTAACTTGAGTTTTGCTCTTCTTCAGATGCAGCTTTCTTGACACTTTGTGTCTCCTAGGCCTTAGGCATAGATTATGCTGGGGTTAATCTCATATAATATTTCAGTTTTGTTGTAATTTTGTCTGATTGTATTTTGGAAAGGCATATTGAAAATGATCAAAATTATCAAAAAGAAATCTAATGAAAGGAATAAATCTGTGTGAACTATGAAACAGGTAAAAAGAAAATGTATTAAAACAATTTCAGTGTTTAATCAGACTAAGATCAGTTAAGGCAAAACTTCAACAATAAAAACAAACAAAAAAACAGGGAGTTCCCTGGCAGTCCAGTGGTTAGGTCTCGGCACTTTGACTGCTGTGGCCCAGATTCAATTCCTGGTCAGGGAATTAAGATCCCACAAGCCATGAGGCGCAGCCAAATTAAAAAAACAGAAAAACCCAAGCACATTAATTATTAAACTTCATTATTATACGTATTTTTTTCTGAAAGAATATAAAAACAATTGTTTCATTCTTTTATGTGTTAATGTATAATTTAAATAGCTTTATAACATTTTAATTTACTGCTTTTTTTTTTTCTATAGAGAAATCCAAGACCAGTGACTTATCAGTTCCATCCAAATTTAGATTATTACAAAGCCCGAGGAGCAGACCTCATGAATAAAAGCCGGTAAGTCCTCTTTCTCTGATGAAAGTCACTAAAATATTCTTGGAGATCGTCAGGAAATGTTACACATTTGCTGAAAATAATTTCCCAGATTTGAGTATGCCAATGGTTAATGCATGTAATGAATCTTTGTAAAATAAATTATCTGAGTTTTTTTTTAAGGCATGAGCAAAGGATGTATGTTGATGTCAGTAGTAAGGTGAAAAATTAAATAAATTTAAGAGTACTTGTTACAGATTGAAGTTTGGCAACTTTGTTCTTCTAACACTAAGAAACCTGAATAAATTGTGCCTGCTTGTGCAGTCTCTTTCTAGACCCTAGCTGTTGATTGAAAAGAAGCAGTTCTGTAATATATGTTTAAATTATTTCAGTAACAAAATTAAAACTGGGTTTCCCAACTGTCTTTAGAACTACACAATAAGCTTATAAATGCATCTTGTGTGTGCATTTGTGATTACATACATAGAAATTTTAAGGGTCACTGTAGGAATAAAAAAAAAATTAAAATCCTACTTTTAAAAGAAACTAACACTGGCATAAAGGGTTGATGAACAGTTTTGTTCTTTCATAATACTATACTCAGATGTCTTAAGAGTTAACTCATCAAACCAGAACCATCTCAAATTAGAACATAATTTCAAAATTTACTCTGGTAGACTAAAATGTTAGTCATGATAAATGCTGCAAGTTGTCCGAATTTTCTTCCTTAAGCATTTTGCCTCTGTGCTAGCTTTTCTTCAGTAGAATTCCAACAACCTAAATATACATGGCTGGAGTACACGTACATGATGTGTTCTGCTCCTACTTGGAGAGTTTTAAAAGAAGACATAATTCCCGACACATCGAAACTCATCGTCTGAGGGGTGAGAGGATTTTACAAGAAAGCAGCTAAATTTAAACGTGCATTTTGAACCCTTAGTGTAACGTTATTTTTAAATTACCCATCCTTGATTGAAGTCTGTCTCATGTTTTGAAGGGCTATGTAATTATAAGACCAGTTCTGTAGCCCACAAGGCTTCTGTGAAACTCTTTTCTGTTTGTTCATTTCATCTGATTCTTGGTTCACAAATAAAAGGTTTTTCCCTATAGTCACTTTGTTCATTTAATTTAACAAATTCTTCTTGAGTGCCAGACTCTCAGTATTCTAGGCATTGGAGATAGTGAACAAACCAGACAAAAATCCTAGCCCTCAGGAATCTTACAGTCTAATCACTTGTATTTCCTCCCTGTCAAGTATTTAGTTTTGATATGTTTTTTAAAAAGTATATTTTAGGTACTTTCTTCATACAAGATCTTTCCAGCTGGAGCTCCTTCTTCTCTCCCCTAATCTCCACCCTGCACCCCCTGCCCACCACCTCCCGCAGGTTAGTTTTCACAGGATGGCCTGTAAACTCTCAGTTTCCAGCAGATTAGATCACACTCCCACTTGAACCTCCAAAGGCTTCCTAATACCTCCCATAATCCAGTCTTCTTCCCTTGCCCCTCCCCTAATGACCTCATCTCCTCCACCCTCCCCTTCTCTTCCCTCTTGCTTGAGCTTGCCTGGGGCCATAGTGCTTCCCTGTTCTCCTCCCACCTCCCCTCTTCCTTTTCAGCTTCATGATTTATGGCTCAGCACAAATATCTCACACAAGGCAAGCCTATCTCTCTCTCACAGTTTTTTTTTTTATTGACATATAGTTGATTTACAATGTTGTGTTAATTTCTGCTGTACAGCAAAGTGATTCAGTTATACATGTATCTACATTTCTCTTCCATTATGGTTTATCACAGGATATTGAATATAGTTCCCTGTGCCATACGGTAAGACCTTGTTGTTTATCCATTCTCTGTATAATAGTTTGCATCTGCTAATCCCAAACTCCCACTCCATCCCTCCCCTCCCCACCCCGCCTTGGCAACCACAAGTCTGTTCTCTATGTCTGTCAGTCTGTTTCTGTTTTGTAGGTAGGTTCATTTGTGTCATATTTTAGATTCCATATATAAGTGATATCATATGGTATTTATCTTTCTATTTCTGACTTACATCTTCTTTTTCTATTCATCTGTCAATGGACATTTAGGTTGTTTCCATGTCCATGTCTTGGATATTGTAAATCGTGCTGCGATGAACATAGGGGTGCATGTATCTTTTCGAATCATAGTTTTGTCTGGATATATGCCCAGGAGTGGGATTGCAGAATCATATGGTAGCTCTATTTTTAGTTTTTTGAGGAACCTCAACACTGTTCTCCATAGTGGCTGTACCAATTCACATTCCCACCAACACTGCAAGAGGGTTCCCTTTCATCCACACCCTCTCCAGCATTTGTTGTTTGTAGACTTTTTGATGATGGCCATTCTGACTGGTGTGAGGTGAAACCTCATTGTAGTTGTGATTTGCATTTCTCTAATGATTAGTGATACTGAGCAGCTTTTCATGTGCCTGTTAGCGATCCATATGTTCACATAAGCCTCTCTTGACCTCCCTTTTGTCTTCACCTCCCTTGGTCACTCTCTACCCCACTGCCCCCATCTTATTTTCATAGCATTCTTTACTCACAGAAGTCATAGACATATGTATCATCTATCTCCCCAACCTCCCCACTAAAGTCAAGCCCACTGCAGGCAGGTCCCTTGTCTTACTCACTACTTGAGGGCACCTGGATAATCCTGGCTGGTGTGGGGAGGTTACTCAGTATTTGTTGTATGTATACATGATTCTATTTTTACATTTTTCAACATCTACTTTTTTTTTTTTTCAAAAAAGGAAATAGACTGTACCCTTTCCTTTTTCCCCTTGATGTTTTATCTCTCTTCCATTTAGCTTTCTGTCCCAGCATTTTTCTTCTCAAAAATGTTAGTTCTGTTTTATATATTTCCTTGTAAGCACATTGAGATTCTTACACAAAGTAACACTGTAAGGATGCAAGGCAGATTTCTCATCATCACTGTTGCAATTTCAGAGCTTGAAATTGAAACTGAACCAAGTAAAGTGTAGTGTGTGAAGACATCACAGACCAGCAAATGAGGAGAGAAAGAGTTCAGAGATGGTACTGGGAAACTTGACAAATCTTTTGAAAAGGTATCAACTTATAAACTTAACACACACCAGAATAAACTCTGAGTTAATCAAAGTTCATTCAAACAAGCAAACAGAAATAAAACACAAATGTCTGTCTGACCTCTAGTTACTAGACTTTTTAGCCTTAAAAGTAATGGAAGAAATCACAAAGGGAAGGACTGGTGGATTTTATTACACAACTGTTTTTAAGTAGATGTCAAAAATAAAATAAACTGAATCAAAAAGGAAACAGAAAATTGGGAAAATATTTGTAGTATAAATGACTGACAAACTATAATATCATTAATGTATAGAAACGTACACAGTTCAGTAAGAAACACAAGATCTGTTTCAGGGGCCATCACATCTCCTGACATACTCCTCTCTGCCCAGAGGATCTCAGCCCAGGTTCATGGCTTTACGTTCCATTTATGACTAAAGGGTCCTTCACTTAATATCTTCAGTCTGACCTCTTCCCTTGAACTCCAGACTCACATGTTCCAAACTAAACTCTTGATTCCACCTCCACACACCTGTTGTTCCCCCAGTGTTTCTGCATCACAATGAATGTCATGACCCAGTTGATCAACCCTTAGAATTGCCTTTAACTCTTCTTCTTCTCTGACATCACACGTCAAGTGCATCAGCAACTCCTATTCAAACTATATCCTGAACTAAGCCACTTACCTCTCTCTGCAGTGGTGGCACCAAGTCACGTGGCCTTGCCCATCTCACCCCCACGGTCTCCTAACCCATCTCCCTATGCAAGTCCAATCATATCACTCTTCTGCTCAGAGCCCTTCCGTGGCTTCCCAAAACATTTGGGGTCAAATCCAAAGCCTTTTCAGTGGTCTGCAAGGCAGGCCCTACATGATCCTGTCTCTCCAACCCCACCACCCTGCTCTCTTGTTCACTGGACTGCAGCCACACCGGGCTGCTTACCATCCCTCCAGCTCTCGAACAAGTTCCCACTTCAGGAGCTTTGAGCTTGTTTCTCCCCGTGTCTGGGTTCTTCCCCAAGAATCCACATGGCACACTTACTGCTCAGTCTGTGTTCAAATATCGTCTCTTCAGAGAACCTCTCTTTGACTGCCCTGTCTAAAATAATGGACCACTCTACTCTGTCCCTCTAATTTGCTTTGTTATTGTTTTTTGTGGGGCTTTTTTTTAATAGCTGAAATGGTATTTTTAATTTTTTTTCAGCTTTTCAGTTTGTTTTTATAGTTTGTTTCTTGCATTGAAATGTAAACTCTGCATGTTTGTCTTGTTAACTGTCTTATCCTCAGCACCTAAAATAGTGCCTAGAATATAGTAGGCACTCAATGAAAGTATTGCAAACAGCAAATAAACATTTAAAAAGCTGTTCAAACTCATAATTAATCAAATAAATGTGTAATTAATTAAAACACCTATGAAGCACTGTTTTTCACCTTTCAAATTAGCAAATTAAAAATAAACGAGGCAGAGGTGAGTAAATCATCACGATCTACTGTACGGCCTAGGCCCATAGTTAATAATACTATATTGTGTACTTAAAATTTGCTAAGCGAGTAGACCTTAAGTGTTCTTATCACAAAAAATAAAATAAATAAAAATAGTAGTGATAAAGAGGGTGGGAGGAAACTTTTGGGGGTGATGGTTAGGTTTATGGCATAGATTGTGGTGATAGTTTCACAGATGTGTACTTATCTCCAAACTTATCAAGTTGTACACTTTAAATGGGTACAGCCGTTGTATGTCCGTTATACCTCAATAAAGTGGTTTTGAATGAATGAATGAATAAATGGGCAAGCTAGCACCAGTGAAGGTGAACGGATATCCTTAGTCACCAATACAGGGAGTATAAGTTGAGACAAGCTTGGTAATCTTGCCAAATAGTACTCCTAATTCTGTATGTAGCCCTTATAACTACCACATTATTCCCCAGAGGTTTGTTTATCCTGCCACTACTTTATCCATG